TTCGCGATGCTTTCGGGAATAAAACAAAACTACACTGTCCTTCCGCCTATGCACCATTTTACGGCAAACCCTAAAACCCTAAACCCTACACCCTAAACCCCAAACCCTACTTACCAGGGGCGGGCAGTTCATGGTGCCCAGCCTGCTTCGGCGCTGGACGCCGCAGCTGGAGGATGCGCCCGAAGACATCGGGGACCTCGTCGAAGAGGCGCATCGGCATTTGGGGGGGGGTTTAGTGTTCGGTTTTAGGGTTTAGGGCTTGGGGTTTAGGCTTTAGGGTTTAGGGTTTGGGGTTTAGGGTTTAGATCCTAAACGGGCCTCTTAAGCGGTTGAGAGTTTAGGGTTGAGGGGTTTAGGGTTTAGGCTTGAGGGGTTTCGGGGTGTAGGGTTTAGGTGTACCTCCCGGTTCTGAGTAGGGATTTGGGTGATAGGGATTGCTATAAGGGGCCCCTTAAAGGAACCCTTACAGCAACCCCCTTACAGGCGCCTTTAAAGGAACCCTCAGTGGGAACCCATAAAGGAGCTGAAGGGCTCTGAGGTGCTTGGAAAGACCAAGGACCCGACTTTAAAGGGGTTTAGAGTTTAGGGTTGACGGCTCCCGCCAGGCACTGAACAGCTTGATTTGGGCTAGGGTTTAGGGTTTAGGGTTTAGGGAGCTGCCATGCGAGGGAAGAGGCTTTATGGTTCCTGGCGACCTGTGGAGATGCTGTGTGCTCCTTCTGAGAGGGCAGCTGCCTGGGCAGATTGAAAGAGCGTCTTCTTTTTCTTCTAGGACATTTTCAGGTGGGTAGGTATCGTCATAGGAGCCTTATAGAAGGTGTACATACCTTATAGAAGCCTTATAGGAGCCCCATATACCCTAAACTCCCCGCCTGTAGTTTCCTTTAACTCAGTTGAAAAGACGCATTGGTCTTTGAGCCCTTTCCTGGAATCCTGAAGTGCTGTGGCACAGCAGCTCATCGAGCTCATTTCGTTACACCGACTAGAGTTTCGTGCTTTAGGTTTGAGGGCTTAGGGTTCAGGGATTTTGGGCTTAGGGTTTAGGGTTTGGAGGTTTTGGGGGTGTTTTTTTTTTAATGGCGATTGCAACAAGGGTTGTGCAGGATTCTATGACGGCCGCCTCTTAGCAGGGTGCGTTTACGGGTTTGGGGTGTAGGGGAAGCCCTAAACCCTAAACCCTAAAGAGCATACCACTGGCAGCCTGGCAGCTGCCGAATTCAAGAGCTGGGTTTAGGGTTTAGGGTTTAGGGGTTTAGGGCAGTTTAGGGTTTAGGGTTTAGGGTTTAGGGTTTAGGGTTTGGGGTTTCGGATTTGGGGTTTTAGGGTTTGGGGTTTAGGATTTGGGGTTTGGGGTTTAGGGTTTAAGGTTTTATAATAT